AAGGGGTGAGAGGCAGCTGTGTCCCCCCCAGAACAGGACACCAAGCTCCCCCCAGCTCTGTGGTGCAGCCTTGAAGTGCCACCCTGCTGCCACCCTGGCTAGGTCCCCACTGGGTCCCCGCACCTTGGCGTCCAGGGAGGCGATCTCCTGCTGGTTGGTGGTGGAAGCCAGGAAGTTGCTCATCTGAGCTTTCAGAGGATCATCCACCTCCACATCGATGTCGTAGCAGGCCGTCTTTTTCTGGTCATTGGGGTCCACGCTGGGAGGAAACAGGGTGTTGGGGGGCACAGCCTCCGCCTCCACCCTGCTGTAGGGGTGGATCGACTCCCCCGACAGCAGCACGAGTACCCCACTGACTGCCCCAAGCAGCCCCCAAATTTGTTTGGCTGATTCTTCCCCTCCCAAGTGACTTGTGCTCATTGTTGCTTTGGGCTGGGGACCTCGCAGCCCCTGCAGATACTGCCCTCCCCTCCTGCACCCCGCTGGGGAGGTCCCTGCCCCTCCACCCTACAGAGCCCCCCAGCCCCGGGGAACGCTGCCCAGCATGCCCTCCGCCACTACCTGATGGTGTGGTTGATGATGATGGGATCTGGGTGCTGCAGGAGCCCCGCCAGCTTCATGGGGATCTCAGAGAAGCGCATGCGGACGCAGTTAAAGATCTGGAGGGGCAAAGCAGAGCGTTGGCTGCCCGTGGCAGGGGCTTCTTCCTCCCCCACAGGAGGAGGGGACTTGCCCAGCCCTGGTTTGTGCATGGCAAGCTGATGGATGCAAGCCCCTGGGGAAGGGGCATAAATTGAGAGTGGGCAGTCTGGAGTGTCTGTTTTGAGCCAGAAAAGATGCTTTTGCTGGCCTTACTGGAGGTGGGGAGGGTGCTCTCCTCCCAGCAAAGCGTGCTGGTGCTGCGGGGCAAGGGCTGACCTGGCGGAAGTAGCGGTTGCAGTTGATGTACTCCTTCTCGTGACTGTCCTGCAGCTTGTTGTGCTTGATGTAGAGCCAGAGCGCCTGCATGATGCTGGCGCGGGTCTGGGTGTGCACCCCGAGCAGGCGAGCCAGGCGAGGGTCCAGTTTGTACTGTGGTGGCTGCAGGGACAGGCAGGATGAAAGGGGTCTGGCACTTGGAAGGGCCCCTCTTGCAGGCATGCTGCCCCACACGGCCCTTGAGTCACTGCAGGCTGCAAGGTCTGTGCCCGGAGCTCTCTGTGCTCCTTTCCAACCCCACAGCCCCCCAATGGCCTCATATTAATGCTCTGCTCCAGCCCAGGCCCGTTCGGCCCTGCCGGATCTCCCCGCACAGAGAAGCCACGCTGGAGGAAGGGCTGCAGGGTACAGCCAGCACCCGCGCAGCCCCGGGGCCCCTACCTGGTGATCCAGCATGAGCAGCAGAGTGCATTTCACATTGACATCGCCGGGACGCTTCACTTGGAAGCCATCGGTCTCCTGGGTTGTGGGCAGCCGGTGCCACTATGAGAGACCAAGGGGACACTGGTCAACTCCAGGACCATGACAAGCCACCTGCTAACAGGCTTTGGGGTCTGCAGCCAGGAGCAGAGAGCACCAGTGCTCGGGCTCTGTGCAGGGGTCTAGCAGAGGCAGACAGCCTGGATCCCACCCCTCCCTGGGAGGGAGGCTTCAGCCGAGACCCAAAAAAGGTTGGATCCCACTCACAGGCAGTGCTTAATATCCCCGAAGACCTTCCAGCCAAGCAGTGAGCTGAGAGGCAACAGGGGAGACCCTTCTCCCCGCTTGGTGCTGGGACGCATAGATGAGCCTTTCTGTGGCATCATCACCCGTGTTGGGCCTCACGTTTGCAAATCTGTGGGGCCCAGAGCTGCCCAAGCTGCCTCTCAGAGCCATGTCTCGCTGCAGCCCCACACCTCTTGGCTCTAGCTCCGTACTTGCAGGCATGAAGGGGTTAAGAGCTGAGCGGGCAGCAGTTGCTGCCTGCCTGGAGCTGTCAGGCCACCAGCCAGCACCAGGGAGGAAAACGCAGCTGTGAACTTGAGCCTGGAAAGCACAGCAGGGTGGTCCTCCGGGGAGGGCTCAGCACCGATGCCCAGCACCCAGAATCACCTTACTCAACCCCCTCTCGCAGTGGGACCAGCGCTGGGCTGGGGAGCTGAGTGCCTGCAGGGTAAGCGGCAGGACCACCTCCCATCGTCGCTGGGGTTAACGGCTCTCCCCACCCTGCCCGGGGTGCGCAGCCAGCCCCGCAGCGCGGCGGGGGGGCCTCCCATCTCACCTCCACCAGATGGTTGTCTGGCCCGTACAGCTCTTTGTCCAGCTCGATGACGAGGCTCTTGAAAAAGGAGGAGAACTTCCTCTTCTGCTTGCTCGGCTGCAAAACAGAGCGGGAGAGGCTTGACCTGACACCAGCCGTGGAGGGCCCCAGCCCAAACACCGCCTCCAGCACCCCGCGAGCAGAGGGCCATATCCACCCCAGCCAAGCTCTCAGCACAGAGCACCAGTGCTCCTCCCACAACCAGTTCGTCCCTGCCCATATATCCTTACGTCCTCCAGCAGTTTGCCCTCCACACGTAGCTCCCAGGAGGCCACGCGCTCACCACCCTCCCCTTCTTCTTTGGCTGGGGTGAAAGTGTTGGAGATGTAAATCCTCAGCTTCCGCTTTTGCTGTGGAATAGGAAAACAGCGAGGGGGGGATGCTTGGAGTGAGAGGGTGGCTGGCAGCACCCACGGTTCATACGTCCCCATCCCACCCAGCCGCTCGCCCTCCTGGCCAGCCAGGGCTGCCACGCACCGTTAGCGGTTTCTTAATGGCCTCCTGAATCTCCATCCTCTTCCGAGCGATGGTTTGGTCCAGCTTGCGCTCAAAGGCGAGGAGGTCCATATAGGCCTGGGATTCTGGGACCAGTTCCCGGATCTGTCAAACAGAAACAATCAGTCCCTTGTGTGCTGGGATGGGGCTGTGTCCCCCACACCAGCCCCAGCAATGCTACCGGTGCTGGGCTGACACGCCAAGGAGTCACCAAGTGACGAGTCCAGCACAACAGCACCAATTCATCATTTTAAACGAAGACTCCAGCCCTGCAAAGCTCTCCCCAAATCACAGAGTTGTACTGTGGACCCCAGTTTGGAACCTGTCACTGTGCCCAGCAGCCTGCCCGGTGTCACAGGCAGGTAATGGTTTGTTAAGAGGGACCCCCAGAAGAGGCTTAGGGTCCTCCTGGGTTCTCCACCTCGAACCACCGCTGCTCGTTGCTTGCCCAAAGTCCTGCTTGTCCAATTTGTGCACACCCCAAACCTCTCCTGCCACCCCAGAGGAAGAGACAGAAAACTTCCAGGTTGGTTTGGGACTGAGCAGAAATGCCCGGGGGCAGGAGGTGGCTCAGCGAGATCCTCCTCCTCCTCGTGGGGCCCGCATCACCCCGGCTGCCCTGGGAAGGCAGCACGGATGCACCACCTCCCTCCAGCAGCTCAGCTCCTTCCCCATGCACCGAGGCAGCACTCACCCTCTGCGGCAGGACCTTGTCAGCCATCTTCCTCCTTTTCACCCTGCAAAAAGCAGAGAGACAGGTAAAAAAAAAAAAAAAACCAAACACTGCAGCTCTCGTAGGACATCTTGCTGCCTGCCCAGTGGGAGGCTGCTGCATGCTCGGGCAGCAGCGGGTCTCAGGGGACATTGCTGAGCCTTGCTAGTACGCAGGAGCCCGGTGGCTCTTTGGCCCCATCCAGGCCACAAATGGGGCCAAGCTCCAGGGAGGGGAGTCACAGCGGCAGTGCCAGCTCCGTGCCACGTGGATGGCTCAGTCTGAGCCAGGTGTCGAGGCTCCCGCTGCAGCGAACAGGTCCGCTTTTGGGGCTGCTCTGTGTGACAGGGACTTTGGACTTGCAGCAGGGGAGCAAAGAAAGGCTGTAAGAGCATCTAGAGCACAAGCCCTTGGATTAGTGCTGGAAAGCAAATGTGTAAGAAATTATAACCCAGTGGGCAAGCCAAGATGACTCCAGGGGGGAAGGTGTTGGACATCTAGAGCCTATCACCAGGGAAGGAAATCCAGTCCCTGGGTCTGGTTTGCTGCCGCTTGCTAAAGGTGCTGCAGGGCAGGAGCAGGGAGAAGGTGGTACAAGGCAGAGCTGCGGCTGCAGGCATGCTCCAGCTGATCCAACTGCAGGACAGCGCTCCCGAGTTTACTCTCTGAAAGTGGCCATCATGTTCTCCCAATGCTACCAAAGCCCAGTTCCAGGAGCTCACTTAAAACCAGCTTAAAACAAACCAACCTTGCCATGGTGGGGCTGAAATTATCATGGCTAGAGAAAGCAGAGGGGTCTCTAGAGCCACGGCATGGCTGCAGCCTTGCTCAGAGCCATTTTAGGCTCTGAGCTTGCAGTACCCTGTCACACCACAGCGCCCTGGGCTCTCCTCCCCTCCTGCACGCTGCAGGCTCCTGGCCCCCATCAGCCTGAACCCACCCCGACGCCCCATTAAATTCACGCTCAATGCCTGGATACACAAGGAAATGCTCTCCTCCCATTCTGCCGCACACGTGAGTAAGAGACGGGGCAGCGTTCAGCAGTCAAAGGGA